TGGTTGGCACTCACACGGGGCGCATGACGGTTCGGCATATTTGCACACAGACAGGTTGAAGGGCGGAGGGGAGAGGTAGAAAGAAGATGGTAGTTGCTTTCCTTCTCCTCGGTGGGAGAAACACCTTGTGTACTTGAACGCCATGACAGGCACACAGTGGCCTAGAGGGCTCAGTTCTGTCGCTTTGGCCTGGGCGGTGCTACATTTTAAGACCTTCCTCACCTACTTATAACGTGGTCAAGTAGGGTTATGTGGTCTTCATTAATGAAGCAGAGTAATTACTCAATGTTTCCTAGACTGCCTTCTTCTCCAAAATGGTCTCTTGACACGAAGCAAGTGGTCGAATTCAACTCTGATCCACTACCTTGCGTCGTGTGTGGAGCCCAGTTCCTGCTTCTGCTCAACCCGGATTTCCCTCGCCTTTCATTAGGGGTATGATTGACTGATGTTGGGCACACTTTTCATCAAGCCCCAATCACCATTTCATGTGAGGGTTCATGAAGTGTGATAGATGTACTACTGACCACAACAAAGCCCTTCGCATCCACACTCCAACGTGTGTGCCGAGTAATCTAATCCACTCGGAACGTTGTTGCTGGGATGTGATGATGCACAAGCTTTTCTTCTTGTATGATGTGATTTAGGGGCGTTTTACAGTAAGGTATTTGTTTACTTGGCGGGTAGGGTTTGGTTTGAAATCCGTGACAGAATGAAGGCTAGTTGACGGCATTCTGAGGGTCTTCTCAGTCGAACAGAGAGAGGGCGGGAGAGAGCATGTGGTGTCCTTATTAGCTTGTCCTCCCCAAACAGCAAAGTTAAGGCCAAACCTGTACTTTTCCGTTGTCCTCATGCATCTGCATTGAGATGTCGAGTCTACTGAACTTTGCGTTAGTAGGGCGTTGCGCCACTATGTAGTGTGTAGCGCACACAAAAGCATTCACGTGTTTCGTACTCGCTAAGGTTGCAACCGAGTCTCCTTTTTTTTGGTTTAGGCTATCGATACTCCAAGGCCCTATTCGTGTTGACTTGGGATATGCACCTGGTTGAGTATGAGCTCATTGTCACTCACAACGAATCCGATGAAAAAGTTAGTCAGGTGAGTTTGTGTTTTCCTTTTTTCTCACCCTCTCCGTGCCCTTCACACACGTGAAGTGCTGCTTCGAGGTGGAGGACCAAAGTGAAAGGCGTTCTCCTTCTACCCCACCTATTGACACCGTGATTATCAAGGTGATTCGGGCGTCCTTAAGAGGTAGTGCCTTTTAAAGGTGCTGTCGGTGTTTTCGGTGGTGAAATGGTGGTAGGACACTAGCAAAAGTTTATTAACACTTTTGATGAAGGAGTCGCGTTGCAGCTATCTGCGTTCTCTTGGAGTGGGAAGTGGTCCACCAAAACGTACTTTTACCAAGGCCGTTTGCCTTCACATGTGTTATGTAACCTTGGGTGGTTTAGTTAATGGAGGAGAAGCATGCTCGCGTTTGGCAGTTTGGTTTTTTTGCCTTTTTGGTGTAGGATAGTCCAATAAAGCTGCGCTGCTCGCCACTAGGTCAGTGGCACTTGCACGCCGACTCGACGCCGCGAATGCCGCCTCTCTCGATCACGCACCCCTTGGTTAGTCTCTTTCTACCACTGTCACCGCTATCCACATCGTCTTCTGCATCAACTGCGGCTACCACTGCCACAGGCCTCGAGGACATCTTCGAATCTCGATCGGGTATGCAGTGCCTTGTTCGCACTAGGTCACTTTACTTAACTCTAAGTGCTACTGTAGTCAGTTGGCTGTCTTCTTCCTCACCACCTGTTCCCCTTCGTTCCCAATGGTCTGATTTTTTGTGGGAATGTACCGTTGCAGTATGCAGTAGGGTCTACAGCTGCACGGGTGTAGAGATGGGATGAGCAGTCAGTTTTTGGGCAGCAGTTCTTCATGGAATTGTGTTCT